ATTTACAACAATCATGGGATCATGCACATTTAAGCAAGACAGTTTAAAGCGGTGCAGGTGTCAAGCCTTGAACTGGTGGTTGATTCATATAGCTAATGTGCGCTTCGTAAGCTGAGTGGCCGACGGTTTTCAGCCGCTCTACCCACATGGCTACGCATCTACATCTTACGAGTTACAACTGTGGACCCTGATGTGCGAATGCAAGTCGGTAAATGGGTCGCCAATAAAAATCAATTCCCTCATAGAACACCTAGACAGGATTAAGTGGGCCATTTCGTCACAAACCATTTTTTTTAAAATAACGTTCTGTAACGAAAATCGTGGTTACTTGTTTGCCCATCAGACACACTAAGGATCTATCTGTCGAAAGGGTAATCCTGAGGTTGAATTTTTAATGGTTATCAGTCTTCCTCATTTGAATTTGACAGTTTTAATCTTACGCTAGTCATAGCGCCAACAAATCTCGCAAAAGCGTTCTAAATCATGGGTGAATTCGAAAAAAATCAAACCATCAAGTACTTCTCCCAAAGTACCACCATAATTTCCGACGGCGTTTGGTCGTTGTTTAATATAATATATTACACTAAACGCCCCGATAACAATTTTTAGAGTACGGCCAGAGTAAATCTCATTCCTAATTTCCATTGCCGCTGGGGCTATCACACGGACTATTAGGGGCTGTTACTTCTGAAAATTAGGGTACGGAATAACCCGCAAGAATGTGAATTCCAGTAATTTATTATTAGGTGCCAAAACGCAAAGCCCAATTTTATACCTACTCACGGACCGAAAACGATCACATTCAATAATAGCATGAGATTCAAGTTACCGAGAATTCTTTTAAGCCTCACGACATGCACAGATAAATGCGCGTACTTAGACTAGGTACAAAAGACAACCTTGTCGCGAGAAAATGTAGCCGTTTTCCGGTTTTTTTTGTTATTTTCGCTTGATTTTCAACTCAGTAAAAGTTGTGGTGTATATTTGACGTTCCTTGTCACTTGTTTTATACTTTATGGAATCCAATAAAGCACTTCTTTTAACGCTAAATTCTCTTGCTACAATCAAATCTATGCAACTAAATGGTCCCTCTTCCGGTAATTGTATGCTCGGATCTCTGCTCAATTTCAATTTCAATTTCAATATATTTAAGACAAGAGGCCCAAGGCCCG